GGTTTACGGGGTGAAGGACTGGAAGAGGGACAGGGAGTAAAATGTTGTCTGAGAGGGGTTGAGGAATGGAAGGAAGTGGAAAGAGTGACCTTTTGAGATGAAGGGGTCTTGACAGATGATGATGGATGGGAGGACTGTTTCTGTGAAAATGTGGAGGCAGTAACATTTTTGTTAGGGGAGGTCTTTTTTGGATGGGAGGAAAGTGTCTCTTGAGAATGTGTGGCAGAGGAGGTTGCAGGAGTGGCCTTTTTAGATTTAGGGTCCTTTTGGGAGTCGAGCTTTTCTTTTAATTTTTTAATTTTTTCGGTCTTCTCAAAACCAGAATCGTATTTCTTTTGTAGTTCCTGCAATGAGGTTTCCAAGGCCGGGGCATTGCCCTTACTGTTGACAATGGGAGTGGGACTGTCCGTGTCTTTTGTCCCAGGGGCTTCAGGGGACTGAGGACCCGCTGTCCGGAGCTTCCCTCTACCCTTGCCAACAACCAGCCATTCCCCCTCTCCCTTCTCCACAACTGCACTAGTAGAGGGCGAAGGCTCTTCGGGGAATGGAGGCTTCGATTTCGACCCAACCAGGGGATTTTGACCCAACCACACTTCCAACACACTGGTTTGTGGCCAGTCACGATGACCGACAGCTTCAGGCTCCCAACCTCCAGACAGTTGGGGATGGAGAGGAAGGCCTTTTCATCTAACATGATGTCGAAACTCCACCCCCCGGTCAAGATATCGCAGGAAGCACCCAAAATTTCGCCATACTGCGACAGGAATATATATCGCTACTCTGGTCCTACGCCTGCTTTCATATTCTGTTCTCAGAATAATGTCTTTGGTAATTATCTCTCTAGATGTCATCTTCAGGCAATCTTCTGGTGTGGGTAGCAATATGTCCCACATGAAAAAGCGCGAACCCTTAACGATTCTTAGTGGCTTAAACCCCTGGGACTCCAGTGTTTTTACCACTGTGTCTTTCGTCGAATGACAAATCTTGCGCATACGCTTATCGACGACGAAGACTGACACGATTCGTTTCTCAATCTTCTTCAGTTCTTTGGGGTCCTCCAAGAGCCCATCTTTCACGACAAGGTGTGCATAACTCTTGGCACGCTCCAAGAACTCCGCAATATAGATTATATACCTCAGGAGGGGGGCTTCCAACAACAGGGAAATTTCTGTCTTATCACTGGTTTTATTATTTGATGCTGATATTTGATCTCCTTCTTGGCCCTTATTGGCCACTGTACTTTTTTTTAATTTAGGCCATTATTGGACACCGTACTTTTTATTTTGACTATTTTTGGCCACCGTACTTTTATCGGAAATGTCATTATCGGTCATTGGCGTTAACAGCCTCCTGATTATCGGGGACTAATGCCGGGTATTCTTCGGGATCATTCTTATCGGGGGGGGGGTCTTTTTTAATGGAGAACGGATGTTTTCTTACTGACCTCCTAAGGTCGGCCACTTTGGGTTTCTTCTTTATAATTACAAAGGAAGGTACCCTTTTTCTTTCCATTTTCAAGGGAGGGGGAGGGGGTGATAACTAGAAAAAAAAGAGATTAATTTTCGCTAGATATCTCAAAGGCATTCGACAGGGTTTGGCATGCTAGCCTCTTACACAAGCTTAAAGGTTACGTTGCCACAAGATGAATATTTGGCTTAATCCAATCATTCCTAAGAAATCAAGTAATGAAGGTTGTTTTGAATAGGCTCACTTCTAGATCTTTTCATACTAACACGAAGGTCTCTCAGGGCGCTATCCTTGAACCTGTGCTGTTTCTGATCTTCATCAATGATCTACTCTATGTAATGAGTTCCCAACTAGACATTTACTCCTGTCTTAGTCACAAATCCGACAGATCTGACAAAGTATACCTAGCAGCTGCTTTTGAAAATGACCTTCAATCAGTTATCAATTGGGGCAAGAAATGGCTTGTAAATTTTAATGCCTCCAAAACAAAACTGCTTTCATTTAATCACCAAAGAGAACATTTTATGCCTGCTATCAGCATGGCTGAGGGCTAAACTACAGGGGAGTAACACTGTACACTTTCTTGGCCTCATGTGTAACGGCTATATCGAATCAATTGCTATGTCTAGTGCAAGGAAAGTTGGTTCACTATGTCATGCCAAAAAATTTTTCTTGTCAGAATCCATCTTGCACATTTATAAATCTTGCTCTTGTCTGTGCACTGAATGGGATTTATATTAAGTTTCACCAAAATAAACTTATCACTTTCCCAAAACAATTCTTAAAGAATTTGCATGCCCAGACAAAGAATATTTCAAAGGCACTTCTAATATATAGAGCTGAGAATGTTTACGTAGTATGTGTCTCACCCAGATCATGCCAAAAAGGACTTTACATCCAGTGTCTTTCAGAAAAGACAAGTGCAAGGATGATCTGAGGTAATTGCAAAGTGCAGACATATGCAATCATCCAAGCTGCACTAGGGATGCAAAAGTCCAAAAAGAACCACATGTCAGAAAAATATATAAAAACCTCGAAGTAGTAAGTTCAGTCTCTTATACATAGCAGATGAGACTGTAAGGTATATGTTTCAGATAAGGTTCCTGAGGTCACTCGCCCACACACACACACACACACACACACACACACACTATCTTACAGTAACTGACAAAATACTGGAGTGAAAAAAATGTAAGTTTAGATATGAGAGATTCAAATTTCGTGTTCTCATTATAGTGTATGACAAGACATCATTACATTTGCATCAAGTTAATACAACTGTAGCTTTACATCCATTTAAATTGAAACTCCCATTCTTGTACAATCACTGAAGTTAAGCAACATGAAGTCTGGTCAGCACCTAGATTAGGAACCACTTTGTAATACCAGGTGCTGTAAGCTTGGATGTCCGGGTTGTATAATAAATAATGGCTTGGAATGAGAAATCAGAGATTTGAGTTCCAATTCCAGTAAGGACCTTTATATTCTCTTACAGGCAAATACCCTTGAGAAAAAGATATAAATCCACCTCTTCTCCTCTACCAAATGCTAAATTATGAGTTAATTTGTAGGACTCGCATCAGTAAATCATTATTAGCTCCAAAAAGTTCTTACAATCTAAAAATATTTTCTTGCTTTAAATAATCTCCAAAGGGTTGATAAGTTATATAAAAAAATCAATCAATACAAGCATAATTAGTGTTTAATTTTCCCCCAATGACAGAATTTCTTTTGTCATTTTATGTGCAATTATTAAAAGCAATAAGTTTTGATATATAGGGTGCGATAGGTAAATTGTCGCCCTTTTTTATTTTTAATTTCACATGTGCACATTGTTTTTAATTTCACATGTGCACATTGTTTTTAATTTCACATGTGCACATTGTTTTTTTTTTAGATTTTGTTGACTGCACAGTATAGTAGGGTCACCATCTTTGACAAAAATGACACAATTCACTACACCAGAAATTTGGAAACAACATGCTGTACTGCTTAGCATTCATACTGGAAGCTCCAATACAATTATTTCAGTGTGTTTGGGTGTTAATCTGAGGATAGTGCAGAAGATTCAGAAAGAGTTGGATGAGTCTAATGGTGATTACAAAGGTGTTTGGAGTGATCACTAGTTATGGTGACATTATGCCTCCACTCATCTTCTCACAGGACCTCAGAGTTAACCTAGAGGCTTACATCAAGTGTCTTGAGGAAGCAGTGCTGCCCGAGTCAAGAGGGTGGCTGCTGGAAGACCCTATGTGTGGCAACAGGACTCTGCACTATGCCACACAAGCAGGAGAACCCAGTCATGGCTGTCAGACAATTTCTGCAACCACATCACCTCTTACATCTGGCCACCTAACTCCCCAGACATCAACCCTCATGATTATTATGTGTGGGACACGGTTGAGTGAGAGACCAACAAATCTCCTTGTAACACCAAAGATGAACTAAAGGCAAGGATTATGGTAGCATTCACCAACTTAAGATCGTTAAGACTGTCCAGAAGAGGTGAAGGAGATTCTGAAGTCGTCTGGAAGCTGTGGTTGAAACCAATGGCAATTTTATTAGATAAATTTACTCTTTAGTATTTCAAGATATTTTTGTGTAATTTTGGTAAATATAGCTGTTAAAATGAGATGTCAGTGTTATTTTCATTTTTGTGTAATTTAGATGACAATTTATCCATCGTACCCTGTATTTAATAAATCATACATCACATATTATATAAACATTTAGCAATAATAGCAATAACAAACTAGTCCCTCATGTAAGCTGAAAGACATCAGAATATGATAAGCATATGATAGAATATGATTAGCAGTTTCATTATGATGAAATATTAAACATTCTTGACTGAGCATCCACTTCTGCTGTTGACTGGAATTTATAAAATCTTTCTCTTAAATAATTTTTCAGGAAAATAGGTTCCTCTACTCCAGTAGCTGTTATTGCTCTTTCAACTGATCTTTCCAATATTGATGGGGATTTCCTTCCTAACCTTTTGCTTGAAGTCGTATGGAATTATTTTCTTCTCAAGTTACATGTTTTAGTGATTGCTGCTGTTGAAAGTTCTCAAATGTTGTAGTTTCTGTTATCTGATAAAGTTCTTTGCAGTTGTGTAACACCAGTCCACTAGTTTCAAAGAAGGATAGTCCCCTTGAAGTTCTACACACTTCATTTACTCAAAGCCATTTTTAACCATGAGAAAGTCGTTGTATACAGCTGATAGTTTAGATATTTCTGAACAAGTTTGATACCATGCATGACATTTATATGAAAGTTCCAATCTGATGAGAATATTCAAAAATATGACTTAAGTTTTTTTGTTTTTGTTATGTTTTGGTTTTATAGTAACCTGCAGTGTTGGGTGAAGTGCAGCCTATTCCAGGTTCAATTTCCTTATTCTCCTATTCTAAATTTGTAATAATTGATCTATACCCCAAAGAAATTAAAGTGTTTAATATTTAAATGACTTTAAATTATTTTTTCTACAGTCACTCAAAAAATGATCAAATTTCAATACGTTTTCCTTGCAGGATGAGTGATGCATCTGGAACTATAGATATTGAATTGGTTGCGGAAGCTGAAGGAAAATTAAGTAAAGCTGATCTTAATTCTGTTGTAAGTATTCATGAATAGCAAATTGGATCCATGGAAATTTCACAGTTCATTCTTTTTGGAGTGTCAAAATTTCCAGGCAAAAGATAAATTGATTTTATTTATTCCTGTAAAATCTTTGTCGGCCATAGCACTACAAGAAGATGATGTGATTTCAATAGAAAATTAAATTCTTATAAGACTAGAGTTATAACCACTCTACTGTTTACACATACATAATGTGAATTCATGCCATTTTTTCTGCAGATCACCTTTTCTTCACAGGAATTCACAACATGGAACATATCTATGTCTGATATTGCATTTTATTTTGACATGTTCAGTTTAATATTTATATTAATCAGTATGTCTGTAGCTTAATGGCAAAAAAGTATTTAATTTATAAAAGTATTTAATTTATATAATTATTAATGTTTCAAAAAATCTCCCCCTCTTATCAATACATTCATACAGTGTTGAATATTAATTATCAATCTTTATTCAATGAAAACTTCAGATCCAAATTCAGTTAATAAACGACATTATTTAATTTAACTAGTCTACTCATAAAAAAAAAAGAAAATTTTAGTAGAGAATATTTTTGTTGATTAGTGTTCATTAAACCTTCAACTCACAGCATTTGTCAGAATAAAAAAAAATATTGATTTTTTTTATCATTTTAGAAGAGGGATCCTGTTAATACTATAAAACACAATGTCAAATTGATTCCTGAGTTATCTGTACTTTGTTTTTATTTACTAATGTCAAATTTGAAACTGTGTTTACATCCTTGATTTACAAATTGGGAAAAAGACATCATCAGTATCTATCTATCTATCTATCTATCTATATATATATATATATATATATATATAATAAAAAAGGCTCAAACACTAATATTCCATGTTTATAATTTATTACATTGGAATCGTAATCACAATCCAATTCATCAGGCCTACAAATTCAAAAAGAAATTGAAAAATATAACTCCAGGAATAAAAAACAAAATTTTAGTGAGAGTGTATGTGTGGGAGTGGGAAACAAGTGTGAGAGGGAAATGAAAGCTCTAGAGAGAGGTGTAACAGAAGAAAGAAGAACAAGAAGGCCTACTTGGATTGTATCCTCTTGAAATTTATTTATATAGATTTATATATATATATATATATATATATATATATATATATATATATATATATATATATAATTATTTATTTAAAAATATGATTCCATCGGTACATAAGAGTTCTCATGTTTCAAAACAAGAGCCGAAAACTTCAATTTAAAAAAAAATTTTGCTTGAAGATGGAACAGAGCTTTCGTACTTTAATTCAATTTAATTCAAATAATTATATTGAAGTTTTCGGCTCTTGTTTTGAAACATGAGAACTCTTATGTAGTGATGGAATCATATTTTTGAATAAATAATTATATTTAGGCTCTACTTTTGTATTGAGCACTGTTTTTTAAAAATAATAACAAAAATACTAAAGAACTTTGGATTATTTCCCTAACAAGTTCTTTCCTTTTTTTTATATATTTTCACACACACACACACACACACACACACACACACACACACACACATATATATATATATATATATATATATATATATATATATATATATATATATATATGTAATCGTGCTGAATCTATTATAATGTTGTTTCTCAATGGATGCTGTAACTATCAGGCCATTTGCTTGCACTCTCACCTGGATTAGCAAGACATTTTCCCTTACCACCACCTGGATTAACAGATCATTTTCCTCTTCCCACCAAACCCTGAATCAACTGATTATTTTCACCTCTTCCATCAACCCCTGGATCAACTGATCATTTTCACCTCCCCACCAAACCCTGAATCAACTGATCATTTTCCCCCTCCCATTAACCCCTGGATCAACCAATTATTTTCCCCTTCCCACCAAGCCCTGGATCAACTGATCATTTCCTCCTTCCTTGATCTACAGATGGAAGCTCAATTTTTCATATGCAATCAGTTGCCAAATTTATTCAAATGGACATTAAAAATTTACTACTTTAAAAAGTCTTGCAGGCCACATTGGTTAGTCTTGTGGGCCACATCTCTTCTTATTTTTTTACCATCTCAATTCTTATTTTCACCTTTTTACCATCTCTCTCTTTGTTTTTATTTTTTTAGCATCTCTTATATTATTTTGTTTACCATCTCTCTCCATTTTTTTTTTAAGATCTCTCTTGCTTTTATTTTTCTCTCCTAGTTTTAACTTTTTTTTAACTTCTCTCTTGCTTTTATTTTTCTCTCCTAGTTTTATCTTTTTTTTAACTTCTCTCTCATTATTTTATTTTTTTTCGACATCTCTCATTTTTATTTATTTTTACCATCTCTTGTCTTATTTTTAACTTATTTTACCATCACTCTCTATATTTTTAGTTTGTTTGGCATCTTTCTCCTTATATTTAGTTTTTTACTATCTCTCTCCTTATTTTTTAAAGGACGTATTCATTGTTGACACTGGAACAGAATGTTTTGTCTGGATAGGAAGAAGAGCATCTCATAATGAAAAGCAGAATTGTTTTACTTATGCTCATGTAAGTAATATATTTTCAATTATTCTGATCAAATAACACTAAATATACACAAAACCCCAGATGTATTTTTCAAAGGCCTCTGATCAAGAAACTGGAGGTTTTGAGGAACACGGAAAAACCTCTTATTTGCTGTTGTTCCCAAGTTCACCCTGATCTGGGATGGTAGGGTTAGGGTCCAAATGGGCAAATAGTGAACCCTCCCCAAACCAAAACAAAACACTATGAAAATATAAAAATACATTTTTATATAAATTACCAACAATAAGCACATACTAAAAAATTGCAGCAACTTCACCCAAATCCATTTAAAATACTACCAAACAACTAACATGAAAGAACTTTCATGACATTAATCCATATAATCTCCTACAATTTCTTTAATCAAACTGTATTCCAAAATATAACTTCAACAAAACAACAACATAAAACACACATCACCACCTCTAGTAATTATGTCTACCCAAACATGTATATCCCAAAAAGCTAAGTATCATCTAGCATGTACTCAAATGTGAAAGCAGAATAACATATATTTTTATTGTTTCTGAGCTCCCAAGAAAATTAAATTTTGGCATTAAATGAGCCATAAGAAGTTAATATGTCATTAAACAAACTATTCAGACATAGATAGGAGTGTAATTTCAGTGACTTGCCATGTGCACCACTTTCTGTACATATGCTTGTAGTTACATTATATGTAATCATTAAAGCTAGTGAACGTTTTAATGTAAATCCTACCCATGATATTACAGGTTATATAAACAGTGAGTTCAAATTATAAAACAGTTTCCTTATCATAAAGCATAAAATTAATGTAAAATAAATTACAGTAAATTTCTCTATATGCTTTTTTATTTATTATATCCCCATGTAGATAATCATAAGAATTAATGAAAATTTCGATGTAGATGTATTTGGTTAATAAACCCTGCCCATAACATTGCAGGTTATATAAACAGTCAGTTCAAATTATAAAAGGTTGCTTCCTTCTTGAAATAATGCATTTTCATAGTAAAATAAATTGCAGTGAATTTCTATATATGCTTTTAGAATTTATTATGTCCTTATATTTATTATGTTCTTATATCTCATTAGAATGAATGTAAGTTTTGATACATTTCTTTAATAAATCCTATCTATGATATCATAGGCTCCATAAATGGTTCATAGTTTAATGTTATCTTTTCCATTTTTCAGAATTACTTACAAACTACATCTCACCCTCTAATTCCTATCTCATGCTTCGGGGAAGGAAACGAAGACGCAAATTTCCATCAGCTCTTCACCGCTTGATCTCGGGATTTTGTTTAAATGAAGGAAAATCGGTGGGATGAGGTTAAAGAAATAAAAAAAAAAACCTTACTTTCTCGATCCTAAAGTCAGGGCAGATTTACCTACAAGAAATTTTGTTTTGTATAATTAAAAACGTTGAAAAATAATTTTTTCCTTGTTGTTCATCCCAGAGCAATGAAGATTTTATACATGAATAAAAATAAATAATTTTGAAAATAAAATGCTTCTGAGATGTTGTTCATCATGAGTATCCAATCAAGTTTCATATATATATATATATATATATATATATATATATATATATATATATATATATATATATATAATTTTGGAAGATCAAATATATATATATATATATATATATATACTAAAAAGGCTTAAACAAAAATTTTGAATTTGTAGGTCTGATGAATTGGATCATATTTACAATTCCAATGTAATAAATTATGACCATGGAGTACTAGTGTTTAAGCCTTTTTATTATGTCCTTACTCTCTCCTGGACATTGTGTTCTACCTGGATTCTATCCTCTTGGTATTTTTTTTACACACACACACACACACACACATATATATATGTGTGTATGTACATGTATGTATGTGTATATTAACTACTAATATTATCCATATATATATATAAATAGTGGTACTCGCTTGGAAAAGCTTGGGTATGTTGGCTTGTAGTAGAACAAACTAGTACCCAAGGAAAAATGAGGAATAAAAAAAAGAAAGAACTAAGAACATGAAATTGAGGTGAAAACAATCTATATATATATAGCTAGTAATCCAGTTGGTATAACACAACATAGAATTTGAAATATGTTAAAACTGATGTGAACGCATACATATATATCCAAATTCCCTCCAAATCTTTGAAAACACACCCCAAACTTTGAGCTCTGATATATGGACGAGTTTAATACCAATAATTCCAAATTAACTTTCTTCCATTTTACTAAAGTTACTTCTTAATTGTTTTTTCACATTTTTGTTAATTTCCATGAATTCCCATCAAATTAAATTTTGGCCATGTGAACATTAGGATGTAGGTCAGCTCATCAGTCTCCACCTCCCTCCCCTTACCTAGGCTCTCCTTCTTCCATAATATAATTCCAGTAACAGTGCCTTCTTTCCCCATACCTCCAAATAAGTCCCCTATAACATTCTCTCTTTCTTTCTCCAAATAAACAGTATCCCACTACAAACTGATACCATAAACAGTTTGAAAAACCCTGCAAATTTTAAGATTAAAATTTATAGGTGAAAATGGTCATTAACTAAAGGTATCTTAATTCCAACTGTAAAAAGAAAAAAGTATATATATTGTTATGGTCCGGTTCCTTGTACCAAGGTGATAATCCAAGGTAGAACCAATAAAGAAGAACTCGAACACGGATATGGAATAACACAGGTATATTACAAACAGAAATATATACAGAGAAGTAGAAAGTGTTAATACGAACAATCAGGTTTAGTAGTAATTGTCTGAACGTGACTCTGTTTCGGACTGCCTCTGACTCAACTGACTCACTCTGACTGACAGACTCCTGACGGACCTCACTCCAGACTTCAGACTGAACAGTATTTAGTCACTCCCCCACAAGGGCATCATGTGGCACAAGGCCGGTTTAACATGGGATCTCTGAGCCCATGGGCTCGGCCAAAAATATGCCCTTTGAACCCGTATAAACGGGTTCAGGGTCGGTTTACCTCCCCAAAAGAGGCTCCACCCTTCAGTGTAGCCTCATTTGGGTTCCTCCCCACCCGAAGGCAGAAAGTTCAACTGATTAGCCGGTCATCCGACTTCAGGCTGAACTCCCTGCTTCCTCTTGAGGTGCAGTATTTATTACATATGGAATAGTCCATTATGTTATTATGGGTAAGGTCCCATAACATATATATATATATATATATATATATATATATTTATATATATTTGTTCTTCCAAAATTTAAATGCAATGTCTGTCATTATTGTCTTCTTGATTCATCTTTATTGTTCTTGCTTCATAATAATGTATTTCTTGTTATTTCACACTCAGTCCCCCCCCCCTAGTGTTTTAGTGACTTTATTGCCTTACTTGGGGTGAAAGGATATAATAATATATATATATATATATATATATATATATATATATATATATATTTGTATATTTACGCAGCAATCCTTCCTTTATGCATGTTTCATTAAAAACGACAGACAAGGTACTACGGTTGATAATGGCTAAAGGTATAGCCGAAAGCGCTCGCAAACACAGAACATTCAGACAGTTCTTACACACTCTTTGTCCAGAAAAGAAAGCTCTTGTCAGAACACAAGAAAAATTAAATAAAAAGCTCAACCGTAGTACCTTGTCTGTCGTTTTTAATGAAACATGCATATATATATATATATATATATATATATATATATATATATATATATATATGCATTGATGTGCATTTCAAATTATGTACATTTCAAGTTTCACCGTGAGATAGGTACATATGATAACTCACTCTTCTTTCTTCCTCTCTCCACTCTGCTTAATCCTTTCTTTCCTCTTTCTCTTTTCACCCCTCACCTGCTTTACTATTTGTTTCCCTTTTTCTTCTTTTCTTTTCCTGTCTAAAAATTATTTAAGAGGTCAAATTGTCTGGCCTCTTAACTGAGTACACTTGAACCTAAGTAAATTATTAAGGATGGTTTAAAAAAAACCAACCTTATATCCCTATTTACATTTCTAAAATGGACCTTTCCATAATCCTCCAACCACCTCTGTCACCTTATATCAATCTAAAACTATCCTTCAAAAATTGTATTAAAAATAAAAGAAACCTAATTATTTTGTAACTAGAGATGTGACCTGATGAACCAGGAGAAAATATATTTTCTGGGTAAATAAATTATAAAATTTAAGGTTGTCTATTTCTTAATTATTTAATTAATATTTGCCCTGGTTTTACATTGAGCTCTTTGGATCACATCATCTTTGGAATTATCTACACAGATTACCAAACCCTTCATTACCTTACTATATATATATATATATATATATATATATACTGTAATGATTGAGATACAAGTTTAATTTGTTCCAAGACCAAGCTTGTAACCTCAAAGACTTGTATCTCAGAACTTTTTTCTCTATTGAAATTAATGGGAATATTTCTGATCCATTCCAGGCCCCTAAAAATTCACCACTGCTCTTCACACTTACTTTCTTCTAACATATGGTGTCACTAAAAGGGATTTTTCTAAATAATGGCAAATGAGACATAATACAACATCCTTCCACAGCAGAGGTAAAGACATGTACTGTGGATGCTTAATTTTGTTTCAACATTAAAATAAAACGTTTCTTCAGGTGGCTACACTACTTTGCATTGAGCCCAGTTTTAAATTAATGTTTTGAACATTGGAATTTTAAACTTCATTCTTTTACATGTGAATATATAAATATATGTGTGTGTGTGAGAATGTGTGTGTGTGTATATATATATATATATATATATATGTATGTATGTATGTATGTATATATATATATATATATATGTATATGTATATATATATATATACATATATGAATATATATATATATATATATATATATATATATATATATATATATATATATATATATATATATATATATATATATATATATATGAATATATATATATATATATATATATATATATATATATATATATATATATATATATATATATATATATATATGAATATATATATATATATATATATATATATATATATATATATATATATATATATATATATATATATATATATATATATATATATATATATATATATATATGAATATATATATATATATATATATATAATATATATATATATATATATATATATATATATATATATATATATATATATATATATATATATATATATATATATATATATATATATATATATATATATATATATATATATGAATATATATATATAATATATATATATATATATGAATATATATATATATATAACCTAATATAGCATAAAACAATGTGATAAAAAAAACAGAACTTTATTCCAATAACCAATATTTCTTATATTTGCACCTGTTTAGAATTTCAGATCTTTGGTTTAGTAAAATATTTTGTTTGCTAATAGTCGCTATTGCTAATTTCTCCATGAATAAGAAACAATATTTCATCTTCAAGCTTAATATTCCAAATATGATTAGACAGGCTCATGCTATGTTTATAATTTTCATGTTTAAAACTACTTATATGGTTGTAGTACCATGTTTTAAGATTACCTTTGGTGGATCCTATATATACTTTTTTGCTCTTGTTGCCAATATTAGATTTGTTTCTATGTATTTCTACTTTATAAACTATATTTTCTTGTTGGCACCTTCCCTTGAGTGGGCAGGTATCCTTATTTCTGCAGTCACATTTAGTGGGATTTGGTTTGTTTTTAATTTTTTCCTATTATATTTATTAATTAAATTAGTTATATTAGGCATGCAACTATATAAGTGAATATAATGAACTTAAAAAAAATTGGGACTCAGCTCTCTGATGAACAATTCTGAGCCATCATACTACTCGCATATCCAAACTTACAGCAGCTGGTATTCCTAAGCAGTCACCCTTCTAAGTACAGACCAGGCTCAATGTTACTTAACTTCAGTGTTAGTACAGAAATTTATCAATGGAATTAGTCTTATATATATACGAGGTGGTGAAGAAATATAACAAATGCCAGTTACAATGTTGCATCAAAAAGGCTCAAGATATAGAGGACATATCACTTTAAATTTTTGCATCCATTGTATTAAATTTTTGTACTCAGTGTATCTAGATTCATAATATAGTTAAATTATTGCAGATTTCTATTGATTTTGGTTTTATTTTTATTGGTAATTATTTTAAATATCCAATAATGCATCAGTATTAGTTTTGTTAGAGAAGAAGACATATTTTATGATCCTGGGCATAGATCTACATAGAAGATTTTGAAATGAGTGTG